TATGATCATTGATATTTAAACATTGTGTAAACAGGAAGACCTAAGTGACAACTCACAATAAGGCCAGTATAATCTACCACTTCACTCACAAGGGATATTCCCGCTGCTGAGACAAATACTCGCTGAAAACAAGCGTCCTATGCGACCATACACAGAAAACAACGGAATATTCAGGAGCCAAATAATTATTTAACTGAGGTAAGGGCAGGAAGCGGTGTTTCTTTCAGTTGCTTGTTGATCTGTGGAAAGATTAACTGCACTTTAAAATAACGATAATATTGAAAGGTAACTTTAATCAGGATAGCAGAATGTAGCTACAAACAGTGTACTTTATTACAGAAAGTAGTCTTTGAATTAATTAATTTGTTTCAAAAGGTCGCGAGGAATAGACCTCCACTCGAAGGTTGTTTATGTTATTTGAGCAACTGGTTACTTTAGTAAAAGTTACCGCAGCGAAACCAGATAAAGTATTTAGGTGTTTTCCTCCGTGTCTGAAGAAACGTGCAACGATAGCCTGCAAACGTACAGCGGCACGAGCAACGGCGAAGCCGCGAGAGTCGAGTCGACGAGCGAAGCTACCCATTGAAAATTAGAGCCTGCCCGGCCGTGCTATTGTTATCTAAGCCAGCGTTCACAGTAAGCCGGAGATTTGAAAACGTAGCTTTTTTCTCTAAGGTTATGCCTACAATCTACGCTAATCCGTCACGAAAACGGAGTTTTTCGAAAACATTCTTCAAACGGGAGGAATTTGAAAACGCCGGCTTTTCGTTTTCGTGTGGACAAGAAACATTTAGAAAACGGAGCTTTTTGAAAACGATGAAGTCAGGATATAATCCTGTGATTTCCCTGTCCGAGCTTTTCTCAAACACAAATCCAAAATGACCAGTAGTTGTTATGTTTTTAAATTTATCCAGCATAGTATGGACGGAAAATATTTGATGCGTTTTCAGAGTGAAACCTCCGTATTCAAATTTCTCCGATGTAGTGTGGATGGAACCTGAATATACAGCTCCTCCAAAGGTGTCAAGAATTTGACAACTCGCTAACTTAATGCGTCAAACTATTAGCCATTATAGTTCACCACTAAATTTTCTCCGATTCTTATTAGTTTAAACTGAACACGTTACACGATAGTGTTCATCAGCGGAGAGACACTATATCAGCCCATAGTGCCAGTCCGAGGAAAATACCTGGATAGATACATGTAGTATTCGTCCATGAAAAATTTCCTGTAAAGAAGTAAGCTTATAAAAAAAAAAAAATAAACAAATGGAACTGTATTGAGTGGGTTTTGTTTATTTTCCTTGTTAAATTTTACATTTGGCTTTCACGGCTAAAAAAGTTGAAAATAATTCAACATGATTTTTGGACTGGCGCGCGGAAGAAAATTTAGTGGTGAACAAGAAAGACAATAGAGTGTTTATGTCTCGGAACTATCG